GGGGGGGGGGGGGAAAGGGCAGCCGGCGTATAAGGCTGACAACCTTACCGCCATCTGTGAGACGATTGTATAGAGAAAATGTGGGAACCTCCACTGCCTGTTACAGAGATAACTTTACATTTCTTTATTGAAGTTTAGTTAAACATGGTCTGTTCTATATAGTCGTACTACATACCCAGGTCATTACAATGCCTTTAGCGTTAATCGTTTGCAGACCGGTGGTTAATATATGTACCACTTGCTTTAACACACTAAAACTCCGCATTCTGCCGACATAACATTTTTGTGTTTCCCATAGTTCTCACATTAAACAGCGATTTTTACTCCTCAACGCCGTTAATGGATTGACCTTTATAACGGAGATGTAATGTGTTCCTCATGAGGTACGAACTGATTATTATATATTATTAAAAAAAAATCAATGCTTTAGTAGTCTGTAGGCTCCCAGAGCCGTCAGACAGTAAAATATGGTCATGAGTGTCGTGACACTCGGAACCAAGAATCACTGTGCTGGCGAGGAACAACAGAAATTTAGCAGTCAGTCAGTGCTTGAATGGTTAATCAGCACAATGTTAGACATTCGGAAAACTTGACACTCTTATCTACTTTAGAGGAAATATCGATTCTTACACTAGCAAATCCTTCCAGAGAAACAGCAAAGAAGTTGCCTGCCAAGAGCCTTACGGACTTCTGAGACTTCATGATAATGAATTGCGTGTATTTCTTGAAGCGCGGAGACGCGTCAAACCACTTGCATCCATATATGGCTCGTTCGACAGCTTCACTCTGTTCACACAAACGATTCACCTTTTTACATATATGTTTAATCCTATATAATATATTATATATTTAAAAACTCTGTGGTCTGTAGTCCGCAAGCGAACTATACCGACCGAGCGACCGCCGCTTGTCGGGTAAGTCAGTGCCAACTTTTGCGGATAGAGGGTGTCACGCGGTCAGCGCAACGAATCCCCACGGCCGTTACTTTCGGTTTTCTAGACCAGAACTGCTATTTCCTTGAAATAGCTCCTCAGTTATCCTAACGAGGCTGCGTGGACTCCGTTCCAGACCCACTACTTCTCAGAAAATCTGGTAGCGCCGAGAATCGAACCCGGAACACCTGGATCTGTAGCCAGGAACTCTGACCACTAGACCACAGAGGCGGTCAATCACATATAATATATTTTATATTTCAAAACATTTTAAATAATACCTGCTCTGTAAGTAGCTCTCCGAACCAGCACATAAGGAACACAGGAACCCAAACGGTAATCATTGCGCCTACGAATTTGAAGGAACTCGACTTTCCTGAACCCTATAAAAAGTAAAATATGTTAATTTCAACATTTTATCCCTATCGTTACTTCACTGTGAAATTAATTTTAATACAATATTGCTACAAGTTTTCATTTCTTATTAAAGTGTAGAAATATATTTTCATAGCTGAAGTGCGTTTCTAATCTAATGTGTCATCCTTGGGTAATTAGCAAACATCACATAAGCAGCGAACATCATCTTAATAATCTTCTCGTGCACTGTGAACACATAGTCTATAACTTCGCTAGTCTATGCAGCATTAATACAGGGCTATTATGGATGATTTGGGTGATGAAATAGTGTATTTTCGAAATGTTTAGAGATGTAATCATAAAAAAAAACTTTAAAACAGCAAGGAAACTAATTAAGTTTTTGTTGGAAACATTGGTTTTAACGTATCTGAGTTCGCTCTTGAAAGAAAATGGCGTCTCAAGTGCGGAAAGTATCACGAGACGAGATGGCTGGATTCGCACCCTAGATCGCCGGACCTTACACCAAGCGAAGCCACAATCCCTAAGAGAGCGAATTTCATAGTCCATAACCAACGCCGATGTGTCACAGTTGCGGCTTTGTTGGGAAGATTTCAAATATCGCCTTTATGTTTGGAGAGGAACTGCCAGAGCGGAAGTCGAACATCAACAGGTAAAGTTTATAATTCTCCGTGCTGTTTTCTTGTTTGTATCTGTAACCGTTTTGCAAATACACTAATTTCTTCTCGCCACAGTCATTTGTAATAGCCCTGTATCATAGGTAAAAACTGGCAGATTTCTTGAAAGAGCTTCTTCTTGGTACTTTCTAACTCTCCATTATCATAAGGAACATGGCGGCCATGTGAAATTGAGAAGTGGGAATTACATTAATATGTTTCAGTGTGAGGTCTTGCAGTTGTGTACTTCTGAAATTTATAAGGTGGAATGCGAAATCTGTACGGTGTCGTGTTTCAGACACCTCTACCGGAAATGTCGTGCCGTGCCGAAATATTTAAGGTTAAGTGTCTGGGAAGTGCAAAGTTGTCATTATCAACGATAAGTGTTCTGATACTCGCTGTGGATATTCATAATATTTCAGTCTTACTTTTCATTGTCAGCTTTCAATATTTATGAAGAAGTGTGCTTACCACTGTTGATTGAAATACTGTAAGACACATCAAAGCTCCATTCAGAGAAAAATATATGAACAGTACAGTGCTGAAGACACTTTGCACGTCTTCTACGTACCTAAAACAAATATTATTATTATTTCTAAATATCTATACCTTATATTTATCAATTGTCAATAGCAACTTATATTTGTATTTTTGATAATGAAATTATTGTTATTATTTTGTTTGTCTCCTTATAAGCACTAATGTTTTTCCTCCAGTGCTTACCTTTAATTAGTCTCTGGCTTTATGTAGTGTTTGTCCAGTATGTAACTAATCTTATCTACATTGTGCTGTGTCTGTAACTGGCCTTGCGGCTGCTGGCTCAGCACATAAATAATAAA